TGGGGAAAAGAAGAAAATGGGTGTCAGATTTTAATAATTTTACCTATCGCAAGCGCAGAAAACCGACGTTTTTATTTAAATACTTTATTTTTTTAGAGGATTTCTGGCTAGGGAATCGTAAAAAAAACGTAAAAACTTGACAACCTTTATTATAAAATACCAAAGCTATCGTATTTCCACAAAAAATGGAGCGTTTTTGGCCAAAATGTCGCATTAATAAATAGGTATTTTATTTGCATAGGTATTCTAGTTGAAATACTATAGTTTCGGAAAAACCTTAAGAAAATACTTCCTATTACGTATTAGACATTTATAGGCATCTACAACAAAATCCGTCCTCTTCCCCCACCCCGCCCCCCCTCGATATTGCAAAAAACCTTGTCACCTTTCAATTTTAGGAATTGTTCTACATGATCGTCGGCGCCGTCATCCCGGCCATCCTGGCTTCCGGACACAGCCATTAGTGCGGCGAAAATGGCATTATCGCTCGTCGAGTGAAGCTTTTTCTATTTGACGCGCCTCTCTCGTGCGTTTTTGCCTTTATTATTCGATTGATTTGTGAGAAAAACGGGTTATCGCCCCCTTTTTGTGATTTGAAGGTAGGTTTTTTTTTGATTTTTCGACTTTATTCCGCTAAAATAGGCTCGAAAAAGTCGCACGCTTGTAACCTAATACTCTACTCGAATTCCCGCGATTTTCTGAGACAATTACAATTTTCGGTTCTGGTTCGTTAGCGGGGGGTAATTCTAGGTCAAAACACAATAATTTAATAAAATTATAGCTAAACAAATAATAACGCTGACTATGGGGTGTTGTATACGAATTCCAGCCATATTGCCGACATTCGAATTGCCGACAGCCAAGTTGCCGACAGCCAAATTGCCGACAAGCCAAATTGCCGACAGCCAAGTTGCCGACAGGCCCAGTTGCCGACAGCCAAGTTGCCGACAGGCCAAATTGCCGACAGCCGAATTGCCGACATATTCGTGAATTTAAGTCCAAGTCTAAGCTTTGGTATATTTGAGTAGCATGACTGTTTAACATGCCAAATTTGGGTAGGGTCTGGCCGCGTGACAAAACCGAACCCGGAACGTTTGCTTGGTGCTAGCGCTTTTGACCACTAGACCAAGAGACAGACAGTGAAGGGGAAGCGGAGAAGGCATATGAAGCTTCCGGAGAAGAGCCCGCAGGCTACCGTCTCGTATGTTAATTGTGGTTTGAATCCACCGGAAATTCTCCCGGATATGAATGTCTACATAAAATTTCCATTCTAGCCCCAAATACTGTCTTTTGTATAATCTGTCGGCAATTTGGCTGTCGGCAATATGGCTGTCGGCAACTTGGCTTGTCGGCAATTTGGCTGTCGGCAACTTGGCTTGTCGGCAATTTGGCTGTCGGCAACTTGGCTTGTCGGCAATTTGGCTGTCGGCAACTTGGCTTGTCGGCAATTTGGCTGTCGGCAACTTGGCTTGTCGGCAACTTGGCTGTCGGCAACTTGGCTTGTCGGCAATCTGGCTGTCGGCAACTTGGCTGTCGGCAATTTGAATGTCGGCAATTTGGCGATTTCCCGTTGTATACAGCGAGTAATGTGACTTAAGAAAAAAAAGTATATTTTGGCAAAAAGTGTCCCCCCCAGCTAACGAACCAGAACCCGAGATTCCCCTTTTGCCTTCACGGTCCCTTTAAAACATGCCCGAATCGATACTGTGATACACTCCCCGGACGTCGTGACGCGTTTATTCACCCTTTCCCCTCGCACATATGTACTTGTAAATAATAAAAAAATGTGACAACTTTTTTGAGGGTCAAAGATACTTGTTTCAGATTTTTAGATGGCTTCCCCGGTTCTTTCGCATTATCGGGGGGGCAAATTGTATTTTTTGTCTATGTCTAGCAATTCCTAAATGCAATACGAAGTGGTTTTAGAAAAATTGAACGTTTTCAACCAAAAACGTCGATATTTTGGTCAGAAAAATTGGATTTTAGTCGAAAAATCTATTCTTTTTGTAGTTTTTCGAGTCGTTTAAAAATAGCAAACACTCCCGCGATTTATATTTAAAAAATCCTCATAAGAAACCCCCTTCCCCGATAATGGAAAAGATCAGACAGGGTCCCATCCCCAGGCGGGCTGTTTTGGAGCCAGAGCTGTTTTTCTAAAGGCTTTTGCAACCCAGTGAATTCGAAAACGATTTTCCCAGCCCTGGCAAAAAAAGATTAGCACGCGATTGACTTGCTTTTGAATGGCGGGTTAGGTGTTGGCTGTTTTGCGCCGCCATTCATGTGGTTTGGGAACCATTTTCAGATTTTCCTGGATTTTGCGCTGGCCCAGACTGGGTTTTGGGTTTTGAAATCTACTCAGTTTTTCGGTTATGGTTCATCTTGGGTGGTACTGTGGCATTAACGGGGGCGGAGGGTACGACTTTTCTCTTTTGTATCCAATTTTTCTGGAATGAATAGCGGACTATTTTTTACTAGTCCTAAACGCAAATGCTTTACCGTTCTCATTAAAAATTAGAAGATATAAGTGTTCGACCAAAATTCTGAATTTTGAAAAGTTTAGCTGTAAAAAATATTTTTTATTTTAGAAAATTTTATTTTAAGCGAAAAGAAAAGATAGGTTAAAAGTTGGCTAAAAACCAAAAATAAAGGGCGAGGTTCCACAGGACTTTAATGTAGCGAGTTTGCAGGTCTGCGGGCGCCTTGAAACGGGAAGAAATGTTTTCTTGTGGATTTATTTGCTTTTTCGGGCCAAATGGACCACGGGCTGCTAACAGGTGCTCTCGCCGTGATTCATTTCGCTGCCCAGTTTTTGGGTTTTGCCCCCCGTTTTTCGAGAAATCCCCTCGAGATCGGCTCACGGCATGCTAGCAGGGATGCTTGCGGAAACCGCGGGGGTTTTCTGGGAGCTTAGGTTTTTTACGTCAAGTTTTCACGCGTGCTTGGATCTGGAAACACTCCCCGATATTCTCTGCTAGTTGGCCTTACCGGACGAGCCAAATCTCAATGCGTGCAATCTATATTTTGCCTCAATAATCTCTGCTAGGCTGCCCTCTGCGTACGGCTTTCCAAAAATGCACGCAACCATCGCGCGTTGACTCACTGAACCGGCACCGATCCGGGGGCCGACCTTCAGGTCCCCTGCGGCTCATCCCCCCTCCCCCATTGCCGCCATTCCATTTCTTTCCATTTTACCGCCCGGTCATCGTTCGGCCTTGTCCGTCCTGCTCGCGGAGAATACTCGCGCGCAGCAGGAAAAATCCTAGCGATTACCGGGTTTTTAAATTGGGAAAATTGCCTGCTTGCTACTGGACAACTAGCAGAGATTTTTCGGGAAAACAGAAACATTTAACGTTTCCCTGGGGGCGGGCGGGCCTAAAATCCGATTCCGTGGCTCGCTAATTTAATCGTTTGTCTGTGGGAGGCGAAAAGATGACATGCCAGCCATTGCTTTCCTCAAAAATCTATGCTGGCCTGCCCTCTCCTCTTCCTCAACAATCTCTGCTAACCTGCCCTTGCTGCCGGGGTTTCTAGTGCTGCTTTTCGAGTCAATCGGCAATGAATTTCTGATGCCATGCCCCCAGCCTTCAGCAAATTGAACCTGGCAGGCTAGCAGAGATTCTTAGAGAACATTTCTTCATGCTCTTCCGTTTCGGGCCCTAACAAGGAAATTCAGGAAATGCGGCGCACGGCGCCCAATAAATTATTCGGCTATTTTTCGGGGGCTTTTTTTTGGGTGGGACCAAAAGGGTCTTTCCAAGGCTTGGCAATTTTTTGTCAGGTTCCGAAAGTTCTCCAAGAATCTCTGCTAGCTTGCCCTGAATTAGAAATGGTTTTCGGAATTCTGAGAACAATTCGTGGATGCGGGGGTGTGAGGTGGTCTTTTTCTCAGGTTGTCAAGTGTGGCGCCGGGCCGGGGTGCCGCCAATTTGGCCCCCGGGGACTTGGCCAAAAGGCCGCCGGGGCCAGATTTTCGTTTCGGCTTTTTGTTTTCATTTTTGGTGCTCAAAAATCGATGGTCTCTACGTTGAGCGTGATTTTTGCTGACGTCAGTGGGTTGGTTCGGGTTTTTTTGGGCTTACTACTCGACATAAGCTAAGCCGAAGCTTAGGCCTAACCTAGGCCAAGCCTGGCTTTTTAAATGATCTCTGCTAGATTACCTTTCCTCAACAATCTCTGCTAGCATGAATCTTTCGGATTCCAACGACTTCATTTCCCAATTTTTGCCTCAGATTCCGAAAAAGCAATCATCGCTCGCCCAGATGAACCGGATGGGGGGTTCGTCCCGAGGATTATTTGCCCAAGCTTTTCCCCCGTGTACTAACCCTCCAAGTACCCCACAGGCACACATACCCGGCCCAGCCTAACACTTGAAATAAACGTTTTTTTTTGTTGTTGGTAAGTTATACTTGTTAGAAGGGCAGGCTAGCAGAGATTGTTGAGGAAGAGGAGAGGGCAGGCTAGCAGAGATTGTTGAGGAAGAGGAGAGGGCAGGCTAGCAGAGATTGTTGAGGAAGAGGAGAGGGCAGGCTAGCAGAGATTGTTGAGGAAGAGGAGAGGGCAGGCTAGCAGAGCTTGTTGAGGAAGAGGAGAGGGCAGGCTAGCAGAGTTTGTTGAGGAAGAGGAGAGGGCAGGCTAGCAGAGCTTGTTGAGGAAGAGGAGAGGGCAGGCTAGCAGAGATTGTTGAGGAAGAGGAGAGGGCAGGCTAGCAGAGCTTGTTGAGGAAGAGGAGAGGGCAGGCTAGCAGAGATTGTTGAGGAAGAGGAGAGGGCAGGCTAGCAGAGCTTGTTGAGGAAGAGGAGAGGGCAGGCTAGCAGAGTTTGTTGAGGAAGAGGAGAGGGCAGGCTAGCAGAGTTTGTTGAGGAAGAGGAGAGGGCAGGCTAGCAGAGATTGTTGAGGAAGAGGAGAGGGCAGGACAGCAGAGATATTTCGAAAGTTTCTTTCTTGTTACTTTCCTTCAACGAAATCTTAAATTCTCCGTAAATATCGAATTTCAGAATCCAATGACGGAAGAGCCGAAACATGCCCGATTCGGCGACCGCGAGGAGCGACGGGTGAGTAGCTGCTCAGGGTCCCTAAATAATCCCTGCTGGCCTGCCTGCTCGGTTTTACAACGCAACTTTTCAGATAGAGCGCAGCCGGGTGTTGACGATGAAGTACGGCAAACAGCAGATGGTGCTGATCCGGAAGCGGATGCAGGTAATACTCGCCGGTCCACAAATTCCTCTGCTAGATTTTCTCGGTGGTTTCGAGCCAAAAACATCGCATTTTCAGGTGGAAAACTGGGTGGAGGAGGAGGTGACGAAGCTGTACGGGGGGAAGGATGAAAATGTGAGTGTGATCCTGGGCGGATTTTGGCCGCGTAATCGGTTACGCGGGCGTGTTTTGGGCCGTATTTTCAAAGAAAATTTCTTTTTAGGGCGTCGAGTTGGAGCTGGACGACCTGCTGGCCCTGGACACCGCGCAGCAACGACGGAAATTTGCCTATGTAAGTTGGCAGGTTGCAGGATGTTTATTGAAGAGACGGCTTTGGCTTAGGCTTAGGCTTAGGCTTAGGCTTGTTTAGGCTTAGGCTTAGGCATAGGCATAGGCATAGGCTTAGGCTTAGGGGCTTAGGCTTAGGCTTAGGCTTAGCCTTAGGCTTAAGATTTGCAAAATATCCCATTCTTCAGGACGAGCTGCAGAAGCACTTTTGCCCAGCATCCATGGACCGGATCACCGCTTTCCTTGATGGGCTCATCCGGCAGCTGGCCGCGTTTTAGAAGGCAGCCTTCTTGCAAGCAACCCCTTTTCCAACACCTCCCGTGGCCGGTATCGCGAACATGTCTTATCATCATCATCATCATCTTCCTCTGAATTTTCTGGGCTATTTTTGTGTACATCTACCTTTCCGATTGGTTCCTGATAAAACTTGCACATAGCTATTCCATCACAATGTCAACAACAATGGTTCGGGTGACTCGTTTATCTGGTGAACGCGGAATAGGTCATATCCGAGCTAGAACGGGAAAAATCGAGTATATTTTGCGTTCAGTAGTCTCCTCGTGGTCAGTCCCGTCAGGCATTTCCTCCGAATTATTTGGTGGCGGCGGGCGCGGCCGGCGCGGCGAGTTGGATACGTTCAGTACGCTGCTCCTCAGGGGCCTGTAAACAAGGTGAAACCCAGGATTCGCATCTTCGTGCCGAAATAGTCCGTAAAAAGGGCTACTCGTAGAAGGCAAAAATACGCACTACGGGGGCTTTTTCAGCAGGATTCTGCTGCTGTGATTCCGGCTCGAAGGGCTTGAATCCCATGGCCTGTGCAAAACAGTGGTCTAGCGACGCAACGTCTGGAAAAACGATGAATTGTTCTGAAGCATGTGACGCTCGCAGCGGACCTGTAACGTCCAAGGTGGGCGGGATGATGTGCAAGAAGGTGAACTTATTGCCGTCGTAGCGCAAAATGGCTCCGAAGCTGTCCTGAACGGTTTGTTAGTAGGGGGAACTAATTTTTACCTAATTTTAATTCTAAATTTAGGTTTTTAATTTTTAATTATTTTCACAGCATTTTACACCGTTTTAAATATAAAAAACTTCCACGAACTCATTCCTTTTACATTTTTTTTACTTTTTGGTCGAAAATGTAAGAAAATTTAACAAAAAAGGTAAAAAGCTTCGAATTTTTAAAATTTTTAAAATATTTTTTTTGTAATGTTTTAGCAATCACAACTACGAAAAAGATTGAAAGATGCTGTATTTATTATTAACAGGTAGATATCGGAGGAAAAAGACAAAGTTTCCTGAATACCGTGGTGCAATGGGGAGCAACATACCTTATGCGGCGTGGTGAACAGCGAGATGAGCCAATTGCCGAAGAAGCTGACGCCCGTCGGAACAGACTAACAAGCGGTCGTTTTTGGTGTCCACGGAGTTTCAGAATCGGACCAAGTCTCTTGTGTGTAGCATTTTTTTTCGCTGATGAAAACCTCGTTTTCAGAATTTGTGAAACGACGAAATTCAGAAGGTTATGATGCTTTAAAGGGCGAAAAACCGCGAAAGTTGCCCGTTTTGGGCTTTTTTCCCCCCACTTTGAAGCTTCGTAGAATTATGGTCGTTACGCCGATCAGAAACGTAAGTTTTGGCGAGCGAAAAATTCTGCACAAACGAATCGGAATGGCAAACCTGGTGGGCACGGATGATGAAGTCGATGCCGTGCTTCGCTCGGAAATCGTCGATCATCTGCTTGTTGAAGTATTGGGCGCACCCGCGGCTCGTGTTATAGGGCCACCTCAAAAAGCGACCAAATATTCGGGATGGGGTTAGCGACCTACTCGGCACCATCGGCCTCCACGTTACAAGGATCGTTCCATTGCAGCGACAGGCGGAGACGCGTCAATTCGGCCGATTCGTCGTTGGGGTCGAAGCCGTTGCGCAGCTGCTCGGTAGTCATGCGCGGGGCTGTAAGGCAAACGGTTCTGGACTGTTAGCGGGGGGGTAACCAAATTTTTCCGTGATTTTGTACGGCCCTATAACCACAATAAACCATTTATATAGCATTTTACATAGTTTTTAGATATGAAACAATATAAAAAGTAATAAATATTTTCGAAAATGTTTGAATTTTGGTCAAAAATCGATGAAACATGACCAAAAAAGGTAAAATTTTCAAAAATATTTTTATAACTTTATAACATCAAAAAACTGCTAAAAACACAATAAAAATAGATAATATATAATCTATTCCGAAGCCCAGAAAAACCCACGGATACCGCCGTGCACCACGAGGATGCGCTTGTCGATGGTGCCGACACGCGGTAGACTTTTGAAAAAGCCCTCAATTGCAGCAAATGTTTCTGCCGAGTATTTCTGCTCGTCCTTGATTTGCGTGGAAAATCCATATTGGTTGTAGCAGTACGGGGTCTCGTGGTTGCCGGCAACGTAGAACACCTGCCACGTAAGGAAATCGAGACGTGCTGCGGTAAGGCCGCTGTTTCACGCCCCCCTTGGCCACCGTGAACCCCGTCAAGTATGCCAAAATATTCGCCTTCTCCTCCGGACTATTTTGGTATACTTTACAGCCTTTTCCACAACGGGCTGGGTAGGGTTATCCGCAGTTCAGCCCCATGTTTCCCGTCAAAGCCCACCTGTTTCGGGTGCAGGACCATCGAGGCTACGATGAGCACGAGGCACATCATTTGACGTGCGCCCCTGTCGACGACGTCGCCCAGGAAGACGATGCTGAAAAACGCAATAATGTGCTTATCAAAAGCTTATACTTCTGGCCCGGAAGAGCCGTCCGCCCGTACGCATCGAACATGCGCCAGAGGACGTTAAACTGGAAAGTACACGTTAGTTTGGGAGTGTTCTTATACACTGAATCTGCCTATAACCTATAAAGCACGCACATCACCATGAATGTCGCCAACCACCCAGGTGGGCCCTGTCAGATGCACGACGCTCTTCACTTGTGCCTGCATGCTCTTCGCATGGTTAAATAGAGCGATGAGGTCATTGTTGTCGAAGAGCTTGGTCTGCAAAAAGAAAAGGCTCTGGACTGTTAGCGGGCAGGGGGGATTTAGCGTGTAAGGGGAGGGAAACGAAATTTGTCCCTGAGTCACTACGGCCCTATAACAAATACAAACGTTTTTATAGAATTTTACATAGTTTTTAGCTATAGAAACAAATATATAAAAAAATAGTGTTTGTGTGTGCGTGCATTTGCATGCAACTTCCATCCGTATGTTCCAGTCGTATCTCAATAGGAGAGGAAGTTAAAAGTACGTATGATACGTCATTAGTTGCGTAATGGTCATGACACGACTGCACACATATCAGATTTTTCAAAATCAGCTGTTTTCGACATTAAAATTAAGTTTTTGTGAAAATCTCGCTCGGCCTCTTTGTTAGGAATAAGAATAGGAATAAGACGGGGCCAGGGTTGAAAAGTCGCGAGGCGGCTTTTCAACCCTGGTGGAAATTCTTGTGGAATGTGGAATGGAATTCTAGTGGAATGGTTCGCTCTTTTATTTATAAAACCAGCGGGCAAAACCCGCTTCGCGGGCCTTGGGCGCTGGAATTGTGCCCTTGTTGTAAACTTGTATTTTATCGAGATTCTGAGAACGCCATCGGAAACAGAAGGGTCGATTCCCCCAAGTGACGAAGAATCAGAGCACACACACACAGATACACCCCAAAATTATATAAGGTAGGATACACATAATTTTTACCTAACTATCTATTCTACTAAAACTTACATATTTAAATTTTCCCCTGCTAAAAATCCATCCCCCCACAGTCCAGAACGGAAAAAACGTCTGCTACACAGCTCGTCTAGCTTGCTTACCGGCCCACAATTGTACACCGTAACCAAGTTGTCCTGTGCGAGCGCACTGAGCAGCGTTTCGGCGACTACCACCGGGTCGCGGATCGGTTCGTTAGTCGATGGGATCGGGCAACCCTTTCCGTTCAGCGGCCACGGCACCCCGGGGTTCAGTTTCTCACTCTTCTGCAAAATGAGCCTTTTTCTAGTGCTGAAATGAAACACGTGTTAAAATTAAAAGATCCTGGCGGCCTTTAATCGGCGCGCTAAATCGGTGGCGAAATCGTCATAATCGCGAGGGGAACCGGCTCGCTTTGTGGAAGTCCCACCATGCCAAGGGCCAAATGCCCTTTCAGCGAGTATCCAAGTGAGCTGGGCTTCACTTTTGGCGGCTGGCCAGTGACCTGAAAATCAGAATGAAAGGTGTAAGGAAGGCCTCATCTGGGGATTTGGCATATTTGGCGTACCTTTCGGTAGAAGCGCGCCTCCCAGCTACCGCCATAGGGCTGCCATGCCAGTTCAACATTTGCGGCCACATGATGTTGCGGCAACGGTTCCGCCAGTTGGTGGTAGAAGATGCGCTTTCTAAATGACGTTTATTCAGGTCGCAGGTTGTGCCTGGCGCAGAGACGCAAATTTACCCACTGCTTATACAAGACACCGACGGTGACGACGGCTGCCAAGAGGCAGATGCCGACGACGGCGGCCGCCACGGCTGAAAGCGCGGTCTTTTATAGAATATTTCATTGGCCTCTCCGCATCCTAAGAACCGAAGACTAGAAGGCTGCTCACCCAATCTTAGGCCAAGCTCGGATTCGTCCTCATTCGGACCGCTGGCGCTCGGTGCAATCGTTGTCGGTTCCGTTCTCCCTTTGCAAATCCGCTAAACCGCTTTTTTGTGCCTTTATCGTGTTATCGTGTACATTACTGAGCATTCAAAATTTTCTTTTGGTGCTTTCGCTTTACCGAGACTTTTTTCTCTTGACAAAAAAAAATCGATACGTTTCCCTTTTTTCGGAAAATTTCCGGTATGCGCGATAATAATCTCCGATAATGCGAAAGCACTGTAGTTTGATTTTGCTCGATGGATATTCGTCCGAAGTTTGTCGACCGAGAGACCGATAAATTTTCGACATTCTGATAGAAAATCACCCACAACATCATCGTCACCGTCGCAGGAAGGTGGCGTCATTTTCAGCCCCCCAGCGCCGGAGGCCTTGAAGAAGACGTTGGTCCGGCAGTCGAGCATCAGGTCGGCTTCGACCCGATTGCGATCATAAGTCTAAAACAAAGATGCAATCAAACGATACGCCTTACCGACAGCCCGTTGATGTCAATGCATTTCGGGTAGCGAATCACTTGTTCCGTCATGGATTGGCGTCGAACCCGTCGGCCTCCTTCGTCGTCGAGCGCCTGAGCGTGGTTGAACTAAAAGGAAAAATAAAGACTAACGACGATCAATTACCTGATATTTGTTCAGAATTCGGAGGGAGTTGGCTTCTGGTTTCACCGCGGGGTCGCTCTGATTCGCAGGGGCGACGGTGGTGTTGATGATCACGTCGAGTCGCAGATTCTCTTCCTCGCTCATGAACTGCGCATACGGGCCAGACTAAAAAAAAACAGTTTTGTAAAAGTTTTCGAAACAGACGTGGGCCCGCTTTGCCGTGTACAAGATCTTTGCGTCTGGGTCGAGGATGTCAAGGAAGACACAATCGTCGTATGAGCCGTTGGCGCCCCGATGCTCGCACGGCACGTCACATTCCGTCGCGCGTTTCACCAGGTCTTCGGAGAATGGGGACTCCGGGCTTTAAAAATAATCTTTGATTAATCGTTGCCCGCTACGGTTGTTTTGTTGTAGGGTCGCACAGCGGTAACGGTTCACACGACGAATTTTCGGGCCGGCCGCCCATCCCACAGTACTGAAAAGAAAGTCATGGATCTTTAGGATTCTCGGGCGGGGGAAGGGGGTTTCGAAGTTTTCCAAAAATTTTGAAAATTTTTTGTTCCAAATATACTTAAAACCTACTAAAAACATTGTAAAAACACTTTATATTTGATTCGATGCCAACCGAGGCCGACAGGAAAAAGTTGCCCCCCCCCCGCCCGCGGAAATCCCAACGAAACAAATTCATTGAAGATTGACGACGGCGCTAGTTATCTAAATGTTACCGTGAAGTCCATGAGATCGGGCACGTCGTAGGGGTCGTTGTATAGAAGCGATCGGTCCTCTTTCAAGAAACCGGCGGCTTGTTGGAGGCTTGGGACGCACGTAAATGCCGGACGATTGTTTGGATCCACTTGTCGAGCAGCATCAGCGACGAGTCTAGGTGGAACAGTACAATATGCTAGGGCGAAAAGGTTTATAGGTTAGGCGAGTCTATGGTCGAAAAAAGTAGCGAAAAATAAAAATAAGGAATGTAAAAAAGTTGAAAAGTCGGCGGGGGGGGGTCCTAGACTTCAGCCGGCTTATATACCTTGGAACCACAAAGCCGGCATCGCATTGCACAAGATATTTCGTCGTAAATTCAAATCCATCCGTCTTGTACTTGTCCGAGTGCCTGTGATTAAACATAGGGCGACTGAAATTGTTCATACAATTTCTTGTCATCACACTCCCCGATCGCCGCCATTTTTCGGGTGCACAGGTTGAAGGGGAAGTAGACTTTGCCTACAGAACAGACTAGAAATATCGAAGATATAAAAACCTCCATTCAGCTCAACTGGTTTGATACAATTCTCTCCGGCAATCTGTAAGAAAACCTATGCCAACAAAAACCGGCTCACGCAAAGGTTGGGACGACAGCTTTTCTTGACTTGAGGTCTGACGTCATCGGTGGCAGTCTCCACCTTGTCTGTGTCCTTGCATACGCTATCGGTCTTGCATTTTTCGCACTAGAAAATAGCCCGTTGTCGATCAACGGGGGTTACAACCTTGGCGTCGGTATTTTGAAGCCATTCCGGATACGGTTCGTCCAATCCATCGTAGGCGTAGCAGATAAACTGGCGTCCCGGTGAGCACTAAATGTCGCTTCTCTAACTGTTCAAGCCTTACATCTTTCTCCTGACGACGAATACGATGGTGGTTGCGCAGCATGGCCGGCGAGAGATTCAGCGGGTCGTCGAAGGGCAGATCGAGGAAGTTGTGGATTCTGAAATCGGTAATCGAAGAGGAAGCGACAAACACTTACTGGTCAGTATAGCCAAAGTTGGAGCAGATGAGCAGAAACCAGAATAGCGACCGAAGCCAGCCATCGGATGACGCTACAGCATGAGCCCGAAGACCCATGGCGAGGCGTCGGAGATGATTTTCGTCGCGTTTGGAAGGTTAGCAAAGAAGTGGAATCGTTTAAATACTTAGATATTTATTTAAATTTCTGGAGCCTAATAATTCAAAAATTACATGCAAAATTTAAGTCCGCAAAATGCAGATCACAACAGGGCCGGCTTTCTAGGTGCTTTAAAAAATAGATCTTGTGTGATTTCGTTGTCAGATTCGCGTGTATTTTCCGGTCAGTGTACAAAAAAGGTAAAAACGTCGTTTATCAAAGCGAGATCAATTGTGAGGGCGTTAAATTTTATACTGGAAAACAAGAGCATTAAAAGGTCTTACAGAGTGGAATGGTAGGAGGTTCTTTAGGATTTGTGTGGGGGAACCAACTTTTTCTGGCGGTCCTGGTTGGCCTAGTAAATTAATATAAATTTTTCTTTTCTTATGTTTGGCAAGTTGTATTGGACAAAGCTAAGATTTAAAGTAGAAAAAATTTTAGAAAAAGCCAGAAAACCTCGATCTGTCATTTTGAGTCGTTAAAATCAATTTTTCGACCTAAAAATAAATTTTTAATCTGTAAAGTTTTTATGGGCAAGAATAGCTAGAAAACAATGTACAAACGCATCCGCTATTTCTTAAATGAAATCTAGGCAAAAAATTTGGTTTTTCTTTTCTGCCCGCCCGGGAATCCTAAAGAACCAGAAAAGCTTTGCCATTTTCCCCTCAAAAAAAAAGCTCGGCTTGACGTTGTCGTCCTCCAGAATCGGATACCTTTAAGGTATCGTTCCCTAATCGTCAGCCGTTGCCCGGCGAGGCCTTGTGGCGAATGGATAGGGCAACGAGCGACGTCGCTCCCCGGAAGAGCGCCGTTCGCTGGGGAAGTCTCTAAATAGCGGTACTTTAAATAATTGCCGAAATCAACCTTCTGAGTTGGAAAGTCCCAAGCAGAGAGCGCTTTCGTTGCGGTCCCGGAAGAGCGCTAAAAGTTGGGTTACGAGTTTTCAGAGGATTTTAAGAGAAGCGGAAACGACCGCTTTCCCGCCAGTAAGCTGATGACGGAACATAGACCGTTTTATAGTATTAAACGGGTTTTGCCTATAAAAACAAAAAAAAATGGTTCTGGGCTATTAGCGGGGGAACGAAATTTTTCTCAGCAATCCATTCCTGTAAAGAAACAAAGACCATTTTTATAGATTTTTGCACAGTCTTGAGGTATAAAAAAGCACAAAAAAATTATGAAACTCTCAGAAATGCTAGACTTTTTGGTCAGAAATGTATGAAAAATGTTCAGAAGTAATTTTTTTTGCTCATTTTTTTAATTTTCTTGCAATCAAAAACTATTAAAAATGCTAGAAATATAGCATTATTAACAGGTAGCTTACGCGGAAAAATAAAAACTACCCCCCCCCCCGCTAACAGTCCAGCGCCAAAAGTTGATGACAACTGAGAGCCAGTACCTGCGCATGGCCTGCTCGGTGAGCATTGCCGCGCGCTCGTTGAGTTCTTGCTGGCGAGCCAGTTCAATCTGAAGTTTTTTCGATACATAAAGCCTCGTTATTCTACCTCTGGGTTTTTGGCCTTTTTCCGGCGGTAGTGCACGTAGGCCATGGCCAGCGCGAGGACGGCCAGGAATCCGCACGCGCCCAGGATGATGACGAGGTGGGAGCGGATCTGAAAGGCAATGTTTCAGGTTTAAATCATAGAAAAACCTGTGATTTGGTCTTTTTCCGGGCCATCGCATGGCGGGGAATCAGGCTGACGGCGCACTTCGGGTAGACGCCAATTTTTGGTCCCACCTAAAGGTAACGGATACATTTTTCAGTTTTTCGGCGCATGCCTAACTTTTTGATACGTTTTAAATTACTTTTAACCATTCCTGACCATAAAAACTTTAAAAATTTAACGAACGATTTATTTTTAAGCAGAAAATTTATTTTTTTTCGGCTGAGAATGACGAAATTTTCGACTTTCAAGCACTTTTAACTTTTTTTTAATATTTTTTTTACCACAATTACAGCCAGAACGCGCTAAACTATATAAAAACGCTATATAGTTTTGTCAGGCCAATCTGGATCTCCAAGAAAAAAATAGGCAAGAAAAAGAGCAAGAAAAAGAAAGAAAAGCTTAAAAAAACAGCATTTTTTCTGAATGATCGCTGCTAGCATGCCTACCAGCTTCCAAAGGGTTTTTACCTGGGCGCATTGGTCGCAGTGGGCGCCCTTGTACTTGGGCGGGCAGATGCAGGATCGCGATCGGTTCATGACGTCTGAAAAAGCGGGTGTTTAGGTTTAGTAAAGAGTTAGTGTTTTATCGCCTTTTTGAGATGTTTATATTGGTTTGTTATTTTATTTATTTCAATTTTGTTAACTAATAATTTTTATTTTGTAATCCTCTAAATAACCTATAGTTAATTTCTATAGCTTTTTTATTGGTTTTGGATTCCTAGAAATTATAGCAACGTTTGTAAAAATTTTGTAAAATTGGAATTTTTTACTTTTTGTCATTTTCACAAATTTTTCAACAAAAAAATCGAAAATCTTGGTCAATTCTTAAACTTATTTATAACTTTTTATCTGAAAACGGTGTAGAATGAGGAATAAAATGGTTTATATTTAGTTATTAATGGGGCCGTATAGAATTACGGGGAAAATATGGTTTCCCACTACCCCCCCCGCTAGTAGCCCAGTACCAAAATCACCGGCTAGAAGAGGTGAATTTTGCTTAAAGCTTAAAAATAGCGAATTACGATTCGTACCTGGATACCCGTAATGACAGACGATCAGATGGCAATAGTCTCCGCCCCAATCCTTTTGACAGATACACCTAAAAAGTCATCCCCATCCGGCCGAAAAAAATGGCGTCCCACCTGCCGTGCCGAATATGGCCCTGGTCGCAGCGACTCGTGTACTGGCAGATCGAGCCGAAAAAGTACGGCTGGCAGGCGCAACCGCCGTCCGGTAGACGTTCACCGCGCATCGAGCACTGCAATAATGTTGGGTACTGTGCTTTTAACGGGGGGCGGCTATTTTTCCGGATGATTCCGTACGGTCCTATAGCAAATGTGAACCATTTTATCGGATTTTAAACAGTGTTTAGTTATCAAAACTGATAAAATCGACGATTTTTAAATTTTTGTACACAAAATTTTTGAAAATGGCCAAAAACACCTACCTGTTGATAATATGCTATTTATTTTTATAGTGTTTTTAGAGTTTTTGATTGCTAGAAAGTTCAAAAACTATTTTGTAATTTTGAAATTCGGAAATTTTGACCTTTTTTGGTCATTTTCATAAATTTATTATGGATTTTTTACAACTAAGATCTATGTAAAATGCTATAGAAATGGTTTATATTTTGTTATAGGGCCGTAGAGAATCACAGGGGGAAAATATGATTCCCCCTCGCTAACCTCCCCGCTAACAACCCGGTACCGGATTTTCCCCAACGAACAGTAAGATGATAACTCACATGATCAGTGAGGTTGTACTCGCACAAGTCGCCGCTCCACCCGTCGTCGCACATGCACGGCTGGGCGAACATGAGCTTGTTCGGGTCGTAGCGCGTCCCGAGTGACTTGCCGTGCACTAAAAATTTGACTGGTTTAATATGGAAAACGTTAGTATGCCTAGAAAGATGTTTAGAAAAATCTTTTTGTGAAAATCGACCTCTTTCATCGAAAAAAAGATAATTTTGGCTTTTTTATAAATATGGCACCCTTACCGCAAGCGAAATCCGTGCAATTCGGGCCGGTGTTGGGCGGGATGCAGTGGCAGTGGTTGCCGGCGAGAATTCCGCCGTATCGGCACGGCGACGTCGGGTCGTCTTTTTTGAGGTTGTCGATGACGTCTCGACGCGAGAGTCGCCGCCTCGTGCTATGGTAAGCTTTAGAAAAGGGTATTGGTAGTCAGTATTGGTTGCTAAAAATGATAGTGCTAAAGCGCTAAAGTTTCTATCAAAAAAAGATTGACTTTTGATCAAGAATCTATGATATGAAAAAATGCTAAAAATTTTCAATTTTAAAACCTTTCAAAAAGATTTTTCTGACCTTTTAGGTTTCAGAAACCAATAAAAATTGGTAAATAAAAATGAATTGTGTTTTATTACTATGGAGCACAATCCCCCACCCCCGCTAAAGAAAAAGAGCCGCAAAAATTACATGCGTTAGTCGTTTTAAAGTTAAAAACCCGCGTTAAGAACGCCTACCTCGAAATGCCAATCCCGCCCGTCGTCGCCGTGATCAGAAATCCGAGGTAGAACGCGATGACGATCAGCCGCATGCCACTAATCGACCGCATTCATCGTGCACCGGGCGCCCCTAACAAACGGTGGCTGGGAGGACGTTGATGGGCGGATTTTGTAAACTATCGGAAATAGGCAGGAAAGCACGGTTTATCGCTGATCGAACCGATCAGCGCGTGGGACTTTCTAGAAAAGGCAGAATAAAAAACCCATCAGAAAACTTAAAATCAGAGAAACTGCGTCTGAAAAGGAAAATATTGTGATGCGGCACAGAGCTTGAAATTTTGAAAATGTCTCGCATTTCAAACATGTACAAACTTGATGAAAAATACAACAAATATCGATTTTTCGACCAGAAATGACCGTGTTTACCAAATTTCGACTTGTTGAAAAACATTTCAAAGTTTTTAGATAGTTTTTCTATTTGCAAGTTAGTGTTACCTTATTAAAACATTATGAAAATACTGACTATGAAGTTACTAGGATTTCTAGATTAAAACAAAAAAAAATTCAGCGCTTTTCGAGCGAAGTCTTTCGAGGGCCATCTCGTTGGGCAGTTTTCGAAAGATTATGCTTGTTCAGAATTTCAAGCCCTATCGAACGCGCTATGGCTTAGGCTTCATTAGTCGTAAAGGCC